AATGGGTGTCCAATAAATCGCTAGCGAATGCTGATTAATATTTTGCATTGGCATAATTGAATATTATTGGATCTTAATAATCTAAGCTTCTGTACTTTTAACAGATTCGCTTTTCATGGAATGAACTCAAAACATTAATGGATGCTGATTTATTTCGTAATAAATTTAAGGAGCAAACAGATTGGAAATACAGGCTGAATGTACTATAGGCAATATAAAAGATAAAGTGGTGGTATTTATTATAAATGATTTTTTTGTTATAATTGATATAAAATCAAGCAGGCCTGATCGATTATTTTTTATCAATCAGAATGGAGAAACACCAGTGCATCAACGTCTTTTTGGGAATTTATGTGGGATAGATATTAATGACTTAACATGTGATGATCCTTTATCGAATGGTGTGGTCGACCTTGGCTCTAATCAATTTCAATTATCTGAGAATGATTTTGATTTACTTGTGGGGGAAAAAGCAGGGATAAGGAGATTAAGTAAAGGTGCTTCAATAAAAAATATTTGTGCTAACTTTGTTAGAAGAAGAGATGAATTTCAAGAAATATACAAATTAGTAGTAGCCGAAGATGTGAATGTAGTCCATTATTGCTGGGTTGAACAAGAAAGTGACAGAGAACGAATTGTAAGAGATATTACTAAATGCCTCATGCAGTTAATAAAATTAAATTCCTTTCATTAAGTTTCTAGAGGCTCTGAGAATTCGCTTGTGGAAGTAGTGGCTCGACTAATCGAAGTAGCCACATATCAATTACCAATTAATAGGGAAGTTGAGGTAACAAGAAACGAACGTCAAAGTGTGGCTAGTAAAAATTGTAAAGCCAAACAGAAGGTTGGTGCAAGGGGCAACAGACCAGATTTTATGATTCAAGCTTTGCTAGGCCAAAAATGGAACGAGATTGTATACGCTGAAAGTGGTAAATGGAATTGTAACGAAGATAAAATACTTGAAGATCACAATAAATTAATGAGATTTTGTATAGATGGATACAAGGAGATTTCGAAAAAGCATGTGAAAGATGTTCTACGAAAGAACTATATTGCTTTCGGAATCAATATTGCAAGTAAAATCATAAGTTATATCTATTTACTCAAATTGGTTAGTAATTCATACAAATATCATTAGGAGAAAATATAATAGTTCACGGATTAATCTGAGAAAATGGAGTAAAATATTATCTCCCAATTGCCAAAGCAAAAATCCCATTAAGATCTGAATCTGTCGAAAATTTGTTCATGTTTTAATGACTATACGAGTTAGTATAATTTTGTATTAAAGCTTATCAAAAACTAGTAATTTGCTAATTAGAAAAAGCTTATTTGCAGAATGCAAATTTGCAATGTTTAATCAACACCACCCAAAAAAAGACAAGAAAGGTAAGTGAAAGAAGTCTTTCACGTGAGAGATTAAATAAGAAAAAAAGTGGAGAATTTGGAAAAGAATAATTTTATTCCTGTAAATTATTTTATTTTTTATATTAATAAAGCTGGCCCTGGTGGTCGATTTCACATACATAATCAGTTTACTTTTGCATGTGTATATTGAGTGAATTTATTTATCGTGATGTATATGTGATCGCAAATTTTTCTTAGTAAAAGCGATCGGCGTGACTCGAGAATTCTTCTTGGGAAAAGTAATCTGCGAGACAAATCTGTCCCGCACTTATAAAGAAAATTTATCTACCGATTTTAGTGAGAAATAATCTTGCAGAAAGGTAACACAAACCGAATATCTAATTTTGTATTACGAACTTTATTTTTGTGCGATAAAAAAATTCCAAATAATCAATACATACCGATTTTAAATCCGAATTCCTTCGGATTCGTAATCCATAAAAGCATTAATTTCTATTCTTGGAAATAAATCACGTCATGATTAGATGCTAATGGCCTTATGTAGTTGAACCTTTGCAAGAACTAATAAGGTTCATATGGAAAGCAATCGATTTAATTTACTTTCATGTTAATATTGTCGTTAAGCCAAAATTAGAATTTAAAACCCCGGCGCGTTATTTCGCGACAATACACTATACTTCGTTCACCAAGTGCAAAGAATTTCCGAATATTAGATATTGGATCTTCGCAAATAACTCCATTGATTTTAACAACTATCAAAGAAAATTGTCATATGTTACAAAATCTTGGAATTTCAAAAGCACAAATTGCAAATATAAATCTTATTAAAGATTTTGTAATAGCTTTACCAAATTTAGAATACATTAATCTCACTTCAATCCCATGTTTTAATCTCTTAAACACGAACAATTTATTCACCGAAATAAAAAAGAATAATCATTCCATTCACACAGTCGAGATGAATGAATCATTACTTAAAAAACTTTATGCAATTGATGGATGGAAAATTGACGTAAATTATAGTAGAAGATGGTATTATTCTCGTAAAATTCAGGGTGGATCAATCCGACCTGATAGAGTACATGGTAGAAAGTTGGATATAACCGAATATGGTCCAGAATATATGAGCAAGATTTTTCAATATTATAGTTTTGATGTGTGATAATAATTCGGTTATTTATTAATAGTTTTTATAGTTCAATGTCTTATAAAAAAAATATTATAATCATTTGAAAAAAAATTTTGAAAAAACAATTTTATAAGAATTATATAAGAATTATTAAGACACGGGGCTATAAATATATAAATAACTTACTTATACATATGTAAAAAAAACTTTTGTGAAAATAAATTAAATAAATAATAGATTAATATAAAAATTTTAATACATTAAACAGAGTTTAAAAATATGATCAAGTTTATTTTTTGAACAAAAATATCAGCATAAATAAATTTGCTACTACGTGTTTAGTATTTTCTCTTTATTCCTTGACATATATTTACAAAGTTAGATTATTAGACCTTGGAATACGTAATATGCTTAACATTTTGCTTGGTCGAATACAATTGTGACTACCGAAAAAAACTTTCAAAAATCGCTTGATACATATAATAGTGTCTTACAAAAAAAAAGTATTAGAAATCTGTAATTACCATTGATGTTTTAAAGATCTTGTTTTTAGAATATAAAAGCATATTTATTTATTTATTAAGAAAGTTAACGTAGTGTTGCGAAAAGTGGAAAGATCTAAGTGATGAATCATTTGAGAGTAACGTTTTTTAATATTATTCATAACATTGACGAATTGTGTAAACGTATGAGGAAAAGTAAATGCGACGCTATGATATAAAATTGGAGTAGCGTGAAGGTTAAAAGTACGATTAACTAAAGCACAAGCTGCTAAAGTTTTCTTATCATCACTTAATAAATTAAGAATGATACGAATAATTTCAGGAGGAATATAAGGGATTGATGTATTTTTTTTCATTGGAACAATATTTGAACTGGTAAGAGGATAAACAAATAATTGAGGTAAAACAAGGCTAGACATTTTTTGTCAAATAGAATGATTAATTTAATTGAAGATTACTGCTAAATAAAGTTATTGAAGAATTATAGTTATCGGATTTATTAAATAATTTCTTTTTAATAGATCTTTTTAGTAGTTTTGCTAAACTTTTAATGCCGAGTTGAACATGAACGAGCAGAAATTTCGTGTCTTATATAATTTTCATCGAATTAAGAAACTAGTTAAAGATAGAAGAAAAACAAACTGATATTAATTTCCATGTATATACGTACGTATATCATTTTACACAATAACTGATAACTGACGTTGTTTGTGGCTACAATTGTGAGTTCAACATATTATTAGGTGGTTTGACAAGAGCATTAACTTACAAGTCATATTATAAAATTGAAGTTACATTGACAAAAAAAAGAGCTAGGTAACAACGTGGCAACAACAATGCGTCAATGCTATTATGGTGTCCGTGTCATAGCCGAAAACCAAGTATTTTTACTTCAGTATTTGTTTTACTTCAATACGCCACAGTTAAACTTTAGCTAAACAAAAGCCTAAATTTCGACATGCATAAACATTATGTACGTACGTACAGAAGAGTATCACAAATTTGAATGACCACTAGAAATTTATTTCGTTATGGCGTGCACTACCTACCCTAAGGAAATCTGCTTAACATACCGTATTTACGTTAGCAGTGTTATTTTTCTTCTAAACACTATTCCTTTAGTCAACTTCCATGAATGATCGAACGAGTCTTAGTCCTTTTTTTTAGAATTGAGAACTGGATATGTAAGAATGAGACAATAGAAATTAAGCAAATTTTAATAAATTTTTTAACCTTTAATCAATAATTTAATAAGGATTTAACTAAGTTTGATAAAAAAATTTTTTTAATAAATCCTACAAACTTTAATTTAAAAATTATTTTATTAAATTGTTAGTTTTCGTTCGTTGTCTAATTTTGTCTTTAAAAATTTTATTTGTTTCTATCAACTCATTTCATATGCTTGATACCACAATATTGTATCATTGAGAATTTTCGATTTCATCAGGATTTCTTAATTTGTTACTATGTGTTCTTTTATATTTAGTAAAAGTAACCTAGCAAACAACTTTGTATAAACATTAAATAATTGGAATTCTAGAAAGCAACTCGTTAGTATTACAGTACTTACGTGCGTGCTTACATGCACATGTATTACACGCTATTACGTTTGTTTTTGTACATACCAGATACGTACGTACATTATTTCTACGTATTATTAAAAATTCTTATTAAAAATTAAGGTTTGACATTATGGTATTAATTATGGAGTTGACAGAAGGTTCATTTTTTTTAAAAAAAAACATTATTACATAGAAAACTTTATAAATATTTTTTTTTTAAAATTATAATTTGTAGAATTTTATTAGAAAATTTTTTGTCAAATTTAGTTTAGGTTCTTATTAAATTATCTTGAATAATGTTTTAAAAAAATTTTTTATTAGTATAATTTCTATTTCTTATCCTTATACGCACAGTGTATGCTCAGTTCTTGATCTAAAAAAAGACTTATTGTTCATTAATGGAATTTGACTAGAGGAACAACGATTTGAATAAAAATAAGACAGCGATATAATATTGAGATGTTACACGGATTAAATAAAAACTGGCAACTACATTGATCATTTTATTATTATCAAATTTTTATTAATGAAATTAAGATAATTAATCGAACGTAATTTCACTTTACTTATAATAAAGAATGAATTTTCAAGTATTCTATAAGATGAATGTTCAGAACCACGTAATATAATAAAAAAGAGAATAATAATAAAAGCATGGCCTTATTCTTTGACTTTATATAAATAACTAGTGAAAATTTCCAGGTAGTTTCATGCCTAGATAATATGCTGATACATTTTAAAATATCAAAAACATCGATTTTTCATATAAATTAATTATCAATAGCGATAGATTAAGTATATATGTTGTGCCTCAGATTAATGCTTGCGTCAGATGTCAACTTTTTGGCCCGCATTAACTGATCGATATTGAT